TTTTATTTTAGAAAAATAAAGTTAAATTCCACGCGGACGAAGTCGCGGGAACAGCTTGTTTTTAATAAAAACGGTTTATTTGATAGAAAAAACATCTTTTTTGTGGTACTTGAGAATGTTGAAGCCTGTTGTTTGTAATATTGAAATAACCGTTTTTTACTACTTGCATATGAATATAAATACGGTACATACACCAAAATAACATATTTTACAATTTTTGTCCGTCTGTCTGTTTGTTCCGGCTAATCTCTGAAATGGCTGAACTGATTTTGACGGGACTTTTTTTGGCAGGTATCTGATGTAATAAGGAGTAACTTAGGCTACTTTTATTTTAGAAAAATAAAGTTAAAAACCACGTGGACGAAGTCGCGGGAACAGCTAGTGTATAATATATTAGAGATACCTACGTGTTTTTTTATTGATGACTAGCTGTACACGCGATTTCGTCCGTGTTGAATTTAACTTTATTTTTCTAAAATATAAGAAGTTAAATTCCACGCGGACGAAGTCGCGTGTACAGCTAGTTGTCGGTAGTCTAGCGATTTAGCTAGCACACTGCTTTGATTCCTGCTTGGTGGTCGAGGGTTCGATTCCTCGCACGCTGCAAACATTTGTATTCATGAGTATGATTGTTTGTAACGGTCTGGGTGTTTTCTATGTATAGATAATATATATGTATTTACGAAAAAAAATCTTTGTATTTATATCAGTTGTCTAGTACCCATAACATAATCTTCAGCTAGCTTAACTTGGGTCTAGATGAAACTGTGTGAATTGTCCTGAGATTACTATTATTACTATAATAAATCTTTTCAAATCAGCCGATGTTTATTTTTGCCATAATACGTGCTGTTACCATGTGATAATATTACGTACGTACTTCTTAAACTATTAACTTATTATTAAATTGTTTGTAACGGTCTGGGTGTTTTCTATGTATAGATAATATATATGTATTTACGAAAAAAATCTTTGTATTTATATCAGTTGTCTAGTACCCATAACATAATCTTCAGCTAGCTTAACTTGGGTCTAGATGAAGCTGTGTGAATTGTCCTGAGATTACTATTATTATTAATTGGTACACAGGTAAACTACTAACTAGGCCATATTGGTGTTGTTTGTTATGGTGAAAAAACTAGTATATATATAAGTTACACGTACAATTTCAAAGACTTATTTCTTGAAAACTACTGGCTATTCTGAAATAAAACTTTAGGGTTTGTATATGTAATGTTTGCATATAAAATATGATTAAAGGTTACCAGTGTATTTACACTTTTACTGAACAAACAGAGTTGTTTAATACTGAAAATATTGTGTGGAAGGCATCAATTACTTTCAGTGCGTGTATAGCTTTTCTCTTTTCCTAATTATTATTATTATTAAGTTTAAAGTGGTTGAATTTTACGTAAGGAGTATTTATACATTATTTCTAATTTACCATTTATTTTAAGTTTTTTAAACTCTATTCATCGAGACCTATCTAATGAGTCCAAACACGATATTTCTGCTGTAAGTTTTCGAAGAGTATGTTCATCATCTGATAATACTGGTGCCAGCATGAAGTCAAGGTTAACAGATAACTAATTACTTTTATTTCGTCAAAATCTTTAGATTACGTATAATAAATTCATAATATCGCTACCTATTCAAATCAAAACAAGTATTAGGTACTTCATGTACTAGTATATAAATTCATCAACACACAAGTAAATGATTTTTAAATATATTCAGAGCCAAAAAATCTTTGTGCATTTAAAAAATTTTGCCGATACGGATTCACTATTGCAGTAAATTGTTGAAAAAATATATATCGAGTATAGGTATCTACTACTATCGACGAATACGTTTGGCAACAATGCATGGTCTCGGTCGGAACGGCAACATCGCATATTAGAATACAAAGATAGTGGTAGAACGCGGAACGGCAACATGTTGCCGTTCCGCCACGCTACCGTTATAGTGGTAGAAAGAGAGAGATAGTGGAATCAGCAATATCTACGGATCGTGGCTGGATCAACTAAGTGAGCAAGTGTATATATATATATATATATATATATACATTTGTCTTTAATTCAAAGGAAATATAAATAATGAACGCATCACATTTAAAACAGTAATAAGTACGTACGTAATGTTATCACATGGTAACAGCACGTATTATGGCAAAAATAAACATCGGCTGATTTGAAAAGATTTATTATAGTAATAATAGTAATCTCAGGACAATTCACACAGCTTCATCTAGACACAAGTTAAGCTAGCTGAAGATTATGTTATGGGTACTGATATAAATACAAAGATTTTTTTTCGTAAATACATATATATTATCTATACATAGAAAACACCCAGACCGTTACAAACAATCATACTCATGAATACAAATGTTTGCAGCGTGCGAGGAATCGAACCCTCGACCACCAAGCAGGAATCAAAGCAGTGTGCTAGCTAAATCGCTAGACTACCGACAACTAGCTGTACACGCGACTTCGTCCGCGTGGAATTTAACTTCTTATATTTTAGAAAAATAAAGTTAAATTCAACACGGACGAAATCGCGTGTACAGCTAGTCATCAATAAAAAAACACGTAGGTATCTCTAATATATTATACACTAGCTGTTCCCGCGACTTCGTCCACGTGGTTTTTAACTTTATTTTTCTAAAATAAAAGTAGCCTAAGTTACTCCTTATTACATCAGATACCTGCCAAAAAAAGTCCCGTCAAAATCAGTCCAGCCATTTCAGAGATTAGCCGGAACAAACAGACAGACGGACAAAAATTGTAAAATATGTTATTTTGGTGTATGTACCGTATTTATATTCATATGCAAGTAGTAAAAAACGGTTATTTCAATATTACAAACAACAGGCTTCAACATTCTCAAGTACCACAAAAAAGATGTTTTTTCTATCAAATAAACCGTTTTTATTAAAAACAAGCTGTTCCCGCGACTTCGTCCGCGTGGAATTTAACTTTATTTTTCTAAAATAAAAGTATCCTAAGTTACTCCTTATAAATCAGCTACCTGCCAAAAAAAAGTACCGTCAAAATCGGTCCAGCCATTTCAGAGATTAGCCGGAACAAACAGACAGACAGACAGACAGACTAAAATTATAAAAATAGTTATTTTGGTATATGTACCTTATATATATTCATATGCATGTAGTAAAAAACGGTTATTTCAATATTACAAACAGACACTCCAATTTTATTTATATGTATAGATTATTATTTATTTATTTATTTATTCATCCAAAATAATACAAATTGTGTAGGATAACGTAATAGTAACATTACAGTAAAATTTTGTCAACGACATAATAGCAACTTAAATATTAAATCTCGGTATATCTATAGACTTGCTGGCCCCAGCGACTTCGTCCGCGTGAAAATTTTATTTTATTTTTCTAAAATAACAGTAGCGTAAGTTACTCCTTATTACATCAGCTACTTGCCAATAAAAGTCCCGTCAAAATCGGTCCAGCTATTTCAGAGATTAGCCGGAACAAACAGACAGACAGACAGACTATACTATGCTATACTATGTAATGATTGATATACCTAAAATAAATAAAATATCTGAGGTTTGGACAAAAACTCAAAGGGTAATTTATTTTGAAAAAGTATTTTGAAAATACCTATTTTGCTTTTAGTGTTATAGTACTTTAACTGTTATGTTTTAAGTAACAATGTTTAATTATAATTAATACTACTGCACCAACACTCCGATCGTGCAAAAAAATTTGCTTCAAAAATTTCATTATTTTTTAGTTCAATTAGTGGTCTACCTAAGTCCTGGGCTAAGGGGGGGGGGGGGGGGGGGAGAGTCATGACGCCCCCATGACTCCCATGACCTCCATGACGCTCCCCCCTGGATCCGCCGTTGCGTCTTCTCTTTATTCGCTCAGTAGAGCGAATAAAGAGAACGTTGTGAACGTTGTTGTTGTAAGAAGTTTCCCGTCCAAAAAATAACAAGTATTGAGATTTGATCTGGAGTCACGTTACTCCAGACTGATTTCTATAAATATTTAGATTAGGTAGACTATTATTTTTGAAATACTAGCTAGACATTATTAAGTTACTGTAGCCATAATGTAGTAGCCCAAACGTGCCAATGAGGAAGCCCTTGGCAAATGCTGCACCCTGATTGGCCCGTTTGAATTGGATCAAGAACTGCTCGTATGCCAAAAAGGTGGATTTGTATAAAATCGTGTATAAATCGCTTAATTATTATTATTACTCGTCGTGACAGTTGTGGCTCAAAACGGATCAACATTTATATATGGTCAGCTGGCATTAGATCAACAAAAGGCCTCCGGATCAACAAGTGAAAATGGATCAACAAAAAACTACCTATACGGCACGTCTGAGCCACAAAGTGCCCAAGGGGATATTTATATATATATATATATAATTTATGGGCCATTATACACGAACCATTATACATATTTCTGTAAATAAATAAATAAAAAAAGGACTCCCTTTATATATTCAGCAGAGTCCGTCTATTGGTTCCTTCAAGAAACGATTGAAATTATATTACCTACTGAATAATTACCTTTATCATTATTTATTACGTTATTATGATGGAATGTTTATGTATTATATGATATGTATCTTTATTAACTTGTATGTATTATGTAACTATTTATGTTTATAGTACTTATGTGTTAGACTGTGCTAATTGTAATTCGTATTTTATTTAGTAACTTTGACACTCCTTTTTGTACCAATTATTACGCACTCAACCGCCTATGCTGTTTTAGATTGACTGGTAGAAATCTCTTCTCGGGATAAGTCCATATTTGCTCACATGTCTCTATATTGTGGGTGTTTCCTACGTATATCATGTATGTATTTAAAAAAAAATCTAATCATTTATATCAGTTGTCTAGTGTGGGTACTAGACAACACAAGCTATTTATTTATTTATCATATTATTTACGGATTATATGTGCAATAAAGAATGTATATGTATTTAAATAATGAACTTACATCATAAAAATGTGGTCTCAATCTCCCCAGTATATATTTGGCCATGTTCGCAGATAGTTGCTGGCAGGCAGCCCCGAATGTGTACACTCCAATGGCTCTATAGCTTTCCCATACCCAGCCCGGCACCAGTGCGCCTGACATATACTTCTCCCCAATTCCTTTTCCCCGTCTATCTCGGAACATTTCAATTCCTATTATCTGAAACATATGGAAGTTCATATTTTATCGAATTGGGTATTATTTTGCGTAGTTCAAGACGTATTTCGGTCGCCGAACAGTCAGCACTAGGGATTCAAGCTATATCCGAACTCTATGCAATGCCTGATGATACCCTGTTAAGAGAAACACGGGTCAAAATATAGATATAGACTCAATAATATTCAGAATTTAATTACCAATAAAAAATGTCGTAACCCTTCCAGTAGCGATGGTCAGGTTTATGCAATAAATATTTGTGGTCTCACACATGCTAATGGTAACGGAATTAAACAAAGCAATATAAATCCTACGATATATGAATGTTGAACATATAACGTCATTGATTGTATTTTATTATGTAGTTGTGATTGTCAATAGTTAGATTGTCAATAGTCGGCGGAATCGAATCCGCGACATGATAATAGTAAGGCGATATGCTTAACCGCTAGATCACCGACACGTTATTTTAGTTATATGTTATAATGAATATCATACAACGTTCACAAAAAAATCTGTTGAATTCAGAGCATTCTGCTTTTGACAGGTTGAAAAAAGATCTGGCAAACTGGAATATAACAAATGGCAAATACTTACGGAAACAATGACAATAGCGAAACCACCGCCGGCCAGTGCCCCTTCAGACACCGTTTCAGGTTTTAGCGGTAGACGGATGGACTCATCGTTCTGGAAGTACCCTCGCTCGTGCGGTTCTCCCAACACAGTCAACAGCAACAGTGGTAAGGCAACTGTGACGCATGAAGTCATATATAGTAGGTAGTTTTTTTTATACCACGTAGGTGGCAAACAAGTATACGGCCCATCTGATGGTAAACGGTTACCGTAGCTTATGGACGCCTGAAACACTAGCGGTGTCACGTGCGCGTTGCCGACTAATTTATTGTAGATCGAGGACTATTACAGACACATAAGATTAATAAGAAAATTTGCTCTTAAAAAAATAACAACAGAGTTTCTTGTCTTTCTTATAATCCTCCACTGGAGACCCGACGCCTTCGTATACCGTTACCGTAGAAAGAGGCTTTCCTATTCATCAATTAAAAAAACCAATGATGAATCTATGGTTTAAATAACGAGCACCTGTTCATCATATAGTTATCATTACTCTCAATTCCATCCCCTTTAACATGAATCTATGGTTTAAATAAAGAACACCTGTTCATCTTATAGTTATCATTACTCTCAATTCCATCCCCTTTAACATGAATCTATGGTTTAAATAAAGAACACCTGTTCATCTTATAGTTATCATTACTCTCAATTCCATCCCCTTTAACAAAGATTTCTAGTAAAAAGCAACCATATGTTTATTAAAAAGCAAACTAAAAGCTGTAAATTTTATACCGGACTCCTATCCAACACCTCTAATTAATTACAAATAATTATCGTTTGTAATTAATTATTGATATTTAGTTGCGTCGTAATTAAATGAAAAGAGAACATTCTATATAACTGTAAATAATATATATAATGATTGATGAATCATACCAATCATTATTTACAATTATTTATGTTAATATCTTAATTGATTAAGTGTAAGTTGTATGAAATGTATTTGTTGACATATAGAATAATCAAATTGAGAGAATATCACTCTTTCAGTCATTATAGTTTATCTGTAAAAACTGTTTAGATTTTTCTTTATTTATTATGCGAATGGATTGGTACTCCCCCTCATGCGCTATCTGTATGCTGCGACCACCAGCTGTACAACTACTGCTGATGAAAATGAGATTAGATCTGTTAGCGCCTCGTGACATATTTTTTTTACGGATGATAATGGAATGGTACGCCAGCCTGCGCTATCGGTTTACGCTGGCGGGGCACCAGTGAAGGATGATAAGCGACAAATGACTATTTTTATTTTAGAAAAATTCTTTTGTTTTAGAAATATAAAGTTCGTTCCACGCGGACGAAGTCGCGGGACAGATAGTTCCTAATAATCCCCGTCCCACTGTTCTCATTATAAAAAACTGTTATGAGAAAAGATGTATACGTCAACTTGCTTTGTAAGTTGGGCATCTGTATGAAGAAACAGTGACGTAGTTAGATTACTACATTACAGTTTTATTAAAACGCACATATCGCTATCCGCAAATTGACAACACTGCCAACCCACAGAAAGAATTTAGGGGAATTCCGAAGGCATAACTTTTGAATTTCTTTCAGCTGAGTTGCCATGATTAAAGTCGGGTTGCAACCTGTCATATTTATTTTGAAAATGAGAGAAATTTTTATCAAGATTTGCAGGTAAGGGTTCGAGGGCCGTCTGAGCTTGAGAGCCCCGGGGCACTGCCCCACCTAACCCCTAGGTAGCTACGCCACTGTGAAGAATGAGATATGATAGTGACATTATAGGAGTTCCTTCAATGACGACTCACGCGGACTGTACCACGAGATAAGGGTATTTTAATGAAGCTATTATAATGAATCATTCTATTCCATACAATCGATTTGAGGCCAATCAGGAAATGACGTGTAAGTTATTTATTGTAATTTGATAAGATATATTAAAAAGTTTGTTGCCAATATTAATAATTCTGCCTAAATGGCAGAATTATTACAGTAGAAAAGCATATGATACTAAATGGGAATTTAATTTACTCTAATATCTTTGGGACCTATTGAATTTCGAAAATTCGATGACAATAAAAATAAAAGATTGTGTAATGTTACTTTTTTTAACAGTACTTGAAGCGTCCGCAGACTGAATATTGTAGAAAGAAAAGCATTATATGGAAATACTTAAGCGTGTAGTATTGATAGATTAGGTGCTGCATATATGCTATAGATTACGTGTCTATAATATCTAAAGGGTATTTCCGAAGATAATGTATATTTACTATTCTGATTGTCGAGTTGTACTTTTAGGGAAGTTCCCTGGACACACGACTCTATACAGAAGTTATGTAAACTTTTAAGAAATACATTTCATTATGTACCTAGTAGCACCTATAATAAAATGGCAAAAAGGTCCAGCTAACCTGATTGAAAGTGGCAACCCTCGCATTTTTATGAACATCACTGTACATGGTACGTCATCAAGTAATACAGACGGTGAACATCTTGTTTTGCAATTTTGCCAAGAAGTAAGGTGTTATACCTACGTCAGTAGGTACCAACCCTGTAATGTCACTGTCATATTTTAAACCTTTAAACCGAAAACAGCTTATAATGCAACCTGTTTGGTGGATCAAGCGATCGACGCGGTTCCCTCTAGAAACCACCACCAACCAAACTATTCGCCATGGTGGACGAGGACTGACTTAACTTCATCTTCCTCATCAAATGACACTTAGCCAGCGTTTACCGTTAATGTAGTCGAGTGATTCATTTTATCATTATAAAAAACTGTTACAGAAATTGATTGAATGCCAAACCACCGTATAGCTACAACCTTGACCAATAAGGAAAACTCAATCAGCGTGACGTTGAAACTTACTTACTCTATTATAATATCAATAACCTATAAAAATCAACATTTTTTAATTTTTATTACGGACTAAATGTGCCCGCGGTTTCACCCGCGTGTAATTAATAGCCTATATGTTATTCTTATATATAAACTATATTATTGTAAAGTTTTAATGAAATCCATTCAGTACATTTTGCCTGAAAGGGTAACAAACATCCATCCATCGATCTACACTCACAAACTCCCGCATTTATAATATTAGTACTTAAGATGATTTGACTTTAACGAGACAGACAAAAAATTATAGCGTGGGTATCTCTCTCATATTTGAGCAATCAACGAAACTGTTTAGATTCTTGTTGGTATCTAAACAGTTGTTTGGTAACAACTTGTTTGGTATCTAAACAGTTTCGTTTGAAGCACATAAATGAAATTAAATAGTGTATCTCTGGCTGCATATAAGGGGTATCACAGTCGTCACATGATGACGTGAGGTCTGTAGCGCTGTTCATATATTTACATGTTCATACACATATTTATATAGGCGACAGTTATCACTTACAATCAGGTGGGCCGTTCCGTTAGCTTGCTTGCCATTCTACTCAGGTGTGTTTTAATTTTGATGAAATGATGATAAAGGAACCTACTACGGTTCCTTTATCATCATTTCATCAAAATTCATCATAACATTACATAAACAAAGGGATTTGTGTCGTCTACAATAAATTTTGACAGATTGGTAAGGACATACACATAATATGTAGATAAAATGCAAAAATTTTTGAATATAAGTTACATAGTCAACGCAGTATTCTAAATAGAACTAAAAACATAACTTACCACATCCTAAGGTAAGGAAATCGATCACAATATTCCATATCAGTCTGTCTAACGCCATCATGCTCGCTTGAAATTATGATTTCATACCGCGAAAACTACACCGGCATAACCACGGACTTAACAATGATAAATAAACGACCACTGATAAAGTTTGTAATCAATTGGTAGATTAGCTAGAAGCACATCGAAATTGTAGGTATTTGAGAAAAAAAAATGTCAGTTTCACTGCTAATTAAGTACATATTTAAACATTAACATTTTAACAAATTAGAAATAAAACAATTCGGTTAAACGCACATTAATGCTAAACATTTGGTTCTTTAATATTTAGCAAACGTAGTTTTATTCATGACATATCTGATAAATTACAAACAGCGCCATCTATTGTAACGTACAGAAACCATTAAGACGAATTGTGCCAGACATTATTTTTCGTAATTTATAAGCATAATGTAACTTTTTGCAAACTGTGAAACAATTTCATAAATGCAAAATTTATTTAATTCAACAAAATTACATTTCTCTTATAATATTAGTATAGATTTAGTAAATATATTATATTATTGAATATCCTTAGGATTTACAGCATTGTATTTAAGGGAGGGTGGAGAGATTGTTAATAATGGACACTCGTGGCTCCATTCCCAGCAATATGTCAGGTCAACCTCCAAGCAGTTTCACTTGGAACTATCGTATTTAGTTTCTGGTAAATATACTTATTTAAGTAGACTGATATGACTTCGTCTACATGCTATCACCCTCTACTGCTTCCCCGCTAGCATATACCATTGTAGAAGGAGGGTGCATCACATATTATACCATTATCATCAATGAAGCCCTGTGTCCATACCAAGTCATTTACAATGGCCACAGATAAAATATCTCGTACATATGTTAAAGTGATAAAGGGGTAAAATAAAATGAAATCATTATGAACAATCTTTATTATGCATTTTTAACCACTTTATAAATAAGTAAATAAATATAGATGCCATACAGCGCAATTCAAGGGACAGTGCACTTCAAGCCTTTAACTTTTGACTACGTGCATCTAATTAAATTAATTAACGAACTAATTTATATTTTCTTAATTAAAATAGGTAAAATTAACACTTTACTGGGTGGAAGATTGTTAGTTATGTGCAATATTGACCCCATTGCTAACAATTTACTTTGTTAGGTCGACCTCCACGTGGTCCTTTTCCCTGGAAACCATCGACCTAACTTCATGTACATCATCCTTCACTGATGCGCCGCCAGCGTATACCGTTAACGGAAGCGGATGTACCATTGCATGATCATTTATTAAAAAATAATATTTTTACTATAATTTCACTTATTACTGGGTGTTATATACTTTCAAATAAATTTGTACAAACATCTCATCATGAAATAACATTAACTAATTTAAATGCACGTTTCCTAAAATACATTAAAATATAAATTTACAACTAAAGCTTCCAAAATTTCTAACAGCTAATAAGGAAGTAAAAATTTTATTATGTACCTAAAGTGACAATGTTTGCCGCATTTAAAATAACAAACTTATTTACATAAATATAATAAATAAACCTCATTTTCGTTCCAATTTTAACAACCGTCGTATATGAATTTCTTTTCTCTTATTGTAATTTTACTCGTACCTACACATTTAACAAGATCGGTACGACTAAAGAAAAAGATAAATCTTCTATTCCCAATAACGAACTAGACTATCTAGATCGGAAAATACATAAATATACTTATATACACCTATAGGTATATACAATGTAAATAGTAAAATATATTATAGTATTTATAAAACCAATCAAATTCAAGAAATAAGATTTATTTTTATTTTTTCTGGTTCTGGCTATTCGTCTGGCCATTAGCCATAAGTGGAAATAAAAAAAACCGCCCTACAATTGTGCGGTCATGTGATTAACATAAATATTTTCATATTTCCACAGGTATTCTTCCATGAAAATAGTTTAGTGCCAATGAATATGACTACCTACTGACTCGGTATACCCTTTACTATTAATTCTGTACTGGATAATTTACTATTTGATATCTCTAAGAATATCTTTACAAGAATAGCATATGCAGTGTATACCAAGCACAAATATAGTTATATTAGGTATTTCTAAATCTAAGTAAAATCTAGTCGAAATATGAAAATAATTCTTAATCAAAATCACATTTGAAAATTCCATGAATTATTCAGAAATTTCATTGTATTTCAACTTCAATAAGTTTCTTGACAAATATTTTACTGTTTAAATACTATTAATTAGCTTAAAACCCAAATTAGCTTTCTGACTGCCTAGAAATAATATAAAAATGTTAAAATATTTGAATACACAGATATATCTTACACTTAACTAGCACCTATGTTTTCTATGTATAATATGTATGTATTCATCTAGACAATTCATCTTAGTATTAACAGATATAAGTTACTCTCTATATAAAACTACAATTTGTATTTACAATATTTTATCACAGAATTAAAATACACGCTTCACAGGCTTGCAGTCTGCTAAGCTGATTTAGGTACTACATTCATACCAAAATTACTATTTACTTGCATCTATAGAACAATTTATAATTTAACTAGCGAACCGTCCCGGCTTCGGATGCATTACAAATCTTTAATTCGACAAAATTTGGAATATACAAAATAAATAATTATTTAGTCTCTTATAAAATGAAACTTTTAACTCATCTGTTAGTTTTTAAGTGGATCTAGCAAAACTTGAAGCCAGGACCTCATTTGAAGCAATTTGGCTGCCAGTATTTCATACTCTACATGCATATATAAAAAACTTATATAAATCAGCACAATCACTTATACCCGATGGGTCAGCTAGAGGCGTTTATAAATCCCATACATTTCATTTAACACTAAAGAAATGTATGAATTTTATAGACATCCATATTTTGCACATATCCCAGCATATAAATACACCTAAATTAAAAATTCATTGGTACACACTGGGATTTGAACTTTGAACTTGCAAAGCAAGACTAACTATTATGCTATAAGGGTATATGAAATACAACTTATGTGTAATTAGTAAACGATTCTAATTATGCAAAGATATGCCGCCTCCTAATGATATATATAACTGTCCAAATAGTAAAGAATCTTTGTTGCGAGATAGTTTTCTCGAGAAGACACGCCTTCGAACACTAATTGTAGCATATATATTTAAGAGAATAATATAATAATATCTTCCCATCTGCAACTAATGCTTAGAAATGAAGACAATATTTTAAGAAAGATGTTACATATGAATGTGTACGGTTATGAGGGCAGAGGTAGGCCGAAAAAGAGATAGATAGACCGTATGAAAGATGATATGTAAGAAAGGGAATAACAAGATGACTGTGAACACGGATGAATGGAAGAGAAAAACATGTTACGCCGATTACAAATAAATGGGATAAGGAAGAAGCAGATATCTTCCCGTGTGCAAATAAATATCTTATGGTTGATAATAATTTGTGTGTGAAAGCGGTTAGAAGTGCCGTTCGATTGCGATGCGCTTTTAAGAGACAAAATTATTATAAATAATTATTCCAACTATTTGTTTCAGTGTTATTTTGGTGTATTGCTCAATTAATTTCAAGAACAATCGAATGCCGATTAATCGATAAAATTATTTTCACATAGAAGCTATGCATATACTGTGTCTAAAGTCAAAATAAAATCAGAAATTTTGTACTCCATGCCCATCACAAAAAAAAAGCATTTAGAAAGAGTAATTGCGGTGTCCAATTCTTCTACCGTAGAACATATAATAGAAGCGGCTCGACTTTGCAAATGGTGGGTAAAAGCAGCTATTATATAAACTATGTTTAACCCACACTAATGGGCTTTACAAATAACCAATAAAATATAGTATATATAGCCTTTGATGTTAAAAGCTAACATTCGAATAATTTAACTTAGAAATTACACTTGAATATGAAAAGGCTCAATGTACACAAATACAACTATGTGAAATTAAAACTATATACATACAAACAAATGGAACATTAAAAATATTCAGATCCAAAAGGAACTAACGAGCATTCTAAACGACATTCTATATTAAAACTAAATGCATTAAAGGTAAATATTTTATAATTTATGATATCATTTTGGATTATGCCTTGTTGTATTCTTTATTAATGCAAGAATATTGCCGTTTATGTACTTTATAAGAATATTTGTTAGCTTCTAATACATTAATTGACTTATACTATTTTTAAAAAAATAGTTAATTTATATTATCATTTATTTAGTATCCCAAAGGTTGCTTTACATCTCGAAGTTAGACTGACGTAATTAATTTACAACCAATTTTGCAACCGTAGTTACTATTGTAAGTAAAACATTGTAATTTTCCAACTGAAAAATTACACGTGTACAGACGGCCTAAGAAACTAAGGGCTAATCAACATAAAGGAAAGGTAACGGGGATGGTTTTTCATTAATAAGTGATAATAGATATATAATATCATTTAAACTAGATCAAAATTGTACTATGTTCATATTTACGTTAGTTATTAAAATATGTAATTTAATTATTATATATACTTATTTCCTGAATGCTAAAATAGCAATATAATTTTTACCATAAAACCGTAGTTACTTGTACAAATATGAAATCAATAGCTTAATACAAATTGTATTATTTTTTTGAGATATCAACTTTTATATTAAAAGTTGACTTTTAATTGTGATTATTTACGTTATAAATCTAATAATGTCGTATTCACTGCTTCAATAAAATAGTAAGAATTTCCAGGTATTTACCATATAGAGAAATGGTTCTTTTATTAAAAATAAATCAGTAAGTGGACATTTTATACTTCATATTTTTTCAACTCTATGAGATTATAGTTAAACTTTGTAAAAATATATGCGTGATGTAATAGACATTGGAATAATATATTAAGTTATGAAAATTGAAATTAACTAATGTTCCTCATTATAGATATAACAGACAACTTGAGCTGTATATAAATTCTTCAACACCTTTCATACAAAGTAAATGCAAACAGACAAATTCAGACCTAGATATGTAAATTACTACACTTAATACATAAACAGCTATAATATTTTAATAAGACACAAAAAAAAACAATTATCAATAAATTACGAAATAACTATGTTTAGTCTTTTAACAGCTACTTGACAAGTAGTTAAAATATCCGATTATAGAAAATATCCAATAAGAGAACCCATATTAATCAATTTGATTCGGTTTCACGCACTCCACTACAATGTCAGTTCGTAAGATCAATTCGATTCTTACTTGATTATATATTCATGTGAGATCCATGATATATGGGGGATATCGGGTCATGGCTCGTCGTCACTGACCGACTGCGAGCTGGGGGGTGTTGGTTGTCAGACTTGCACCCTGTTGGGGTGCCGGGTGCCGTTGGTGGTGTGCATTTCTGAATCCAAATGGTTCAGGTTCTGTCTGGTGTGAGGCGCCTTCCGTAAGTCAGACACGAATGAGAACTGTAAATATAGTAAGTTACTTTTACCTAATAATATTGCCTTCGATCGATTTCATGTTTGGTTTTGTTTATAAATTTCTACTGTGACGGTATCACAATGTTACATAACTTAACTTATAGTATTGTCGATATCTTAGTCAGATATCGACAATACTTTTAGAATTGATTTTTGTTTCAACTAAGGAGAATAATAAATTACGTAATCACTTAAAAAAATCTGTTAGTATTAAATAGCTATTTTATCTTTTATTTACTTTACAAGTAATTATATAATTATAAATAAAATTTCATTAATTACACTTCTATAAACTCAAAGTGGATAGCTAGCCTATTATAAAATTACCACTAAAACCATTCAGCACTTTATTTATCAAGAGATTACTAACCACAACAACGGCAAAAACAAGGCCAATGAGGGCTCCGGCGAAGACATCACTCCAATGGTGTTTGTAGTCGGACACCCTTGTCATAATTGTATACCACGCCAGCATCATCAGAACGAATTGGAGGCCGGGCCGGATAAGTTTCGAGCCGCGCCACGTCATGCGCTTCTGGAGATACATCTGAAAACGTTTAAGACTTACAAGTATTTTCTTACAGTATCTTAAAACGGTATTCGGTAAACAATATAACATTTTAGGACATACAGATACTGTCTACTGTCTCGTTATCAGAAACCCTCTTCCAGGAGATGCTCACGTTACAAAATATATCTTATTTACAATTTTGAGAGTAAAAAAAATGTTTTATAAATATAAAGTTATTTTATTCTAAACCCAACAAGCCGGTTACGGTTACAGGGATGCGTAACAACTCAGGTAATAAAACTAGTCCTGAGCAATAGCAATACATGAAGTACCACAGTTGTTACAATGTTTTGTGTGATGCCTATGTTATTGCTCATGTATATAGATGACGGTTACCCCTTTCCAATCAGGTGGTTCAAATTATAATTAAAGAAGAAATATTACTAATTTAATAACGAAAAGGTTATTGTCAGCTTCGACTATAAAATGTAGATTATATTCTTCTAGTAGAGACAAGGACTTCCAAAGTCTATCAGAAAAAAATAGATATGTTTATATTAAAAAACATATATATTTGCAATAGTAACTTACAGAGAAATAAAGCATGGTGTACGCAGAAAATGAAGAGTGTCCACTGGGGAACGACAGACGCATTTCTTTCAAGAGCTTGCCGCCGTGCTCGGGGTTGAGGGCGTTGAGGCACGTAAAGTTCTGGATATAGCGCCACTTATTCTCTGGTAGGGTGCAATCGATGCTTGGTTTACACACCTGTAAATTAATTATTATTAAATTAATGCCTTACTTATCTGTAAATATGTTCTATTTTAAAATGTCTAGTTATCCCTGAAAATATGCTGGGATTGTGTCATTGACCAGAATCAGATTTGTCAATTTCATTTCATTGTGTATCAATAAAGACCTTAATTTCAATAAAGTAACATAAAAATCAATTCCATTTTCAGGTACCGCTATCCAATCCTTATTTGGCAGAAGATTCAATTCTTTATTCATTTTTCCAATATGGTAAGAGGAGCCTATTATCCGGTAACGTGAAACTGACAGACTGCTCGTAATTTGTCTGACGATTACTGACATTACGTATCATAAAAAATATTTTTTATTATATTATAATAAAGTATTATAAACAAACACACGAGTAAATACTAAATTAACATAAATATAATTACATTCTATGTGATATGAATACATATATCAGATAAATATAATAATATTATATATTGAAAATTATAAGCATGTATTGCAAAAATTATAACATCTGAACCTTGCGAAAAAAAAATCTTGACATTAACTATACTATTAGCGACAACCATATCAATGACATTACGATTTTGAAAAAGAATATAGTGTAACAGGAAGACTAAAACGACGACCTTTGATTTACATATATTCAGTAGGAGAGCTCAGTGCGATCCAAATCATTTCTCTCGCTACTCGTATTTAATTGGACAGGTGCAATACAATGAACGCGATTTTTATTCGGTGCCATACTCTTAAATCTTTCTCATATCTTTTTAAAATCTTTCACATCTCGTTATTCAACTGTAACGTAAAGTGTGTCGACATGCTACGCTAAATAATTACATGTCATTTAATATTAACAGTTGCTTTTAAGAACATTCAAGTATAACCATGTGTCTGATTATATGCAACATGCAACAGAATTAATGCATTCTCTGAAAACAGAATCAGCGTTTATATTATTATCAGTTATTTTCAATAAATTAGGTTTTTAGAACACACCACATGTTACTAATATATGTGCCAGTGTTATAAAACCCTTATCATAATGCTATAAAATACCTACAATTTGTAATTTGTGTTTTGATATAAAATGACGATAAGTATTAAATAAAAACAAATATAACAAAACCGTTCGACTATTTATTTTATTCACACTGATAACGTTATTTTTATGACTCTCAATCAATTTCGGAAGCCAGTTTAGATAAGAATCATGTATCATCATAAGATTTTGCATGGATACAAACTAAGAGTAAAACGCAAAAAATAATAAAATACTAATACAAGGTTCTCACCTTGGATTCGCCCGAGTGTTTATAACTTTCTGAGCTTTGTATGTATATGGTATATTAACATAACATGTACATATATAGCCAATGTCACTAATAATTAGAGAAATGTATGAAAACAATCTCAAAACGTTGCTATGTCCCTGGAGTACACTTTTGCCGTAACAAAATCCGATCTCACTCTTTATTTAATAATTATATGCTTAATATCATGTTTTCTATACTAATATTTAGTATAGAAAACATGATATTGAGCATATAATTATTTGAGACATAAAATTTTGTTTACTATCTCGATACAATAATAACAGGGTGCGTGTAATATTTTTTCGCTTCAAGTTTTCGCATCAATCATTCGATCAAATTGACCCGTTCACTCAATGCAACCGGTTTCCCATTGAATAGGGTTGTCACGAACCGGCTATTAGGATATGTAGGTAACTTATAATATGCGTACAGTAATATAATGTACTAAGTAATATAATAGGATACTGATGTGACTGTAATAGATTTAATATAATTTTAAATACTAGTAACCATATTGATAAATGGCATACATACATATATCAAAATTTTTCTTTTATTTGTAGAAACTATTAGAAATCCATCATTGTGACTACAACTTAACTCATCACTACAGAAACGCTACAACTATTTGGTTCGATCTTCTCTTTTTATTGTGTTGGTAATTATAGGACAAGGTATGTATTAGAAATGTTAGAAGAATGTAAAAATGACGACTAACAAAAGGTTAACAAAATCAATATATAAAAAAATATTAATTTAATTGAAAAATTCATAAAAAGAAAATTTGATATGTTTATACAATTCACGTAGTTTATACCCATACAAAGCCACCAACCAATAAAATCATAATGTTTTTATTGGGTAGTGACAACCCTATAATTAATAATAAACTGGCGAAATTGGTCTTAACGACATGCACTCATGATCTGGTGAAGTATTTATTTTTCGAGTTTTGCATACTAAAGCACAAGTAATTTAGTGATTATGGAAACGAGGAGAATATTGTAACAGCAGAATGGCCGTGGGGTTTAATTATATAGTCTGTATTGCCAGAACTTTTTGAATAGTTTATATTTTACGCAAGATAATATAAAATACATAAAATGCCAACGTGAAAGTATTTTTTATCTAGGTCAATCCTCCCACATACACGCAAAATTAGCACTATTTACACTAACACATTATAACTTTATAATGAACACTTTATATTATAGGTACATAACAATAAAATATAGGTTTTCATATACGTATAATATATAGTGTTAATTAGACGACGGTAATCGTTAGTAAAAGAAAAGAAAACAAATAGTGTTACTAACATAACGGAATATAATTAATACTAGTTCAACTATTCCGTGGATTGATATACGAAGTAGCATTTGATTTTTAGTCTCCGTCCTACTTTAATTGTAAACCTAAGGACCAGGCATTGATTGTAAGATATATACCAGGAATAATATTAGTCAGATAAGTGACAATGATTCGTTATTACTTTTTTGTATCCAGACTCGTTTTTATCGTCACATTTTTCAATACAATTGTACAAACAAAATTAGCTTTTAATACGAAAGTGAATTGAAACGAGCAAAATAATAGCTGAGCGTAATGAATAGCATAATTTGTTTAATTTTAATATCTATTGTAGTTTTCATTTGTCCTACATTTTAAAAATAACTAATAGTTTAAATTATATCTACTATAATATTATAACTACGTCTATGATATATATGCTACGCGATGAGATATGATACATAAACTTGTTATTTGCCTTCTTGTTAGTCTAGATTATGGAACAAGAATATCGTAGTTCCAATTGCAGTATATCACGAACAGTGAGTATGTCTGTGCTAGTCAATTATGTACTTTCCCTTTCTCCACGGCAGTAAACGCTGACATTTACATCATTATTCCTGAGCGATCGGTCTCCAGAAAATTGTCAGCAGTTAACGATTTATGAGGGTGTAATAACTAATTTAAATATAGACTCGATTTAATAAACGCCCCCCGGCTAACACCACCGTCTCGAAATTGATGGAATGCACTCCCAACATGCATTTTACTACTATAATAATATCGGGCTTTTAAGACGAGCCGTGAAGAAACATTTATCAAAGTCCGCATAATGTCGACGCCTAATCCAGTTGTTAACCATTGGAGTGACCGCCTTTAATCTTCTCTTCCTGTGTAATGAAAACACTTTGTCGGATCTTATAGATATTTTTAATTTTAAAAATCTGTATTGGCATACCGCATTACATGTGCTCCGTGGTTTCACTCATCACCACGTGCTTCTTCCTTATACCTTCCATTTGGACTCGGCGTAATGTTTTTTCTTCCAATCATGCCAAGTCATCTTACAAGCAGTCCATCCATCTCTTTTTCAGCCTTCCTCTGCTATAATAACCATCCACATTCATATATAATACTTTCTAATTTAAAATAAATGGTCACCGCCTTCAGTTCTTGTCCCGCCACATCACATCATATCGTTCCACAGGATTATTTCTTGGTTTTCGTTTAACATTTTTTTTTTAGTCGACTACTAATGATCGAAGCCCGATGATTAATAACCTACAACCTTATTGGGATATCAAATACAAAAGGGTAAATTTACACATGAGACGTGTAGTACCTACTACAGATTACTTACTTAAAAGAACTCTACAGCCTTATAGTATAGGTTTCCTTTTAGCGCGTGTAAATATTTTTGTTGATTTCATATGAATTCTGAATGTGAATACATAGAATACAGTTGAAACACTATTCAATTAATATTCGACGCTGTAACTAAACTGATTCTTGTAATGTTTTTAGAACAATAACACCATTTACCACGTCGTGACCAGCACGGTGGTCAACCGCCAGTGTAATTATGTGAAACGACTTAGTTTACATTCTATGCCATGCGTACATTTAAATAAGCTTTGTTCACGGCTGTACGAGCGAGAATCGAAGAAAAGTAAAAAAATGCGGTCATGAACTCGAATTGCCTTTTTATTTCATCGATTCAATTGTGTATTTTCTGTCGGATAATCGTTTGTAGATTGAAAAGGTTTAACACCGAAGGTAAATGAATCACGACAATTAAATGCATTATCCTTGGTTACGTGGATTTCTTATTTTTGAGATTATCATTACAAAAATACTTACTTAATGGATGCTGAATGCACAGCAATGCATTTTAGCGAGATGAACTTTGCACGAAGTCATATGTATGTATTGTTTGTACTAGTCTCATTTATACGTTTGTTGAGGTATAACAGTGATTACGATGTTAGGAGGCATGATACCTTAGTTCTTTGGACAAAACAGAAGTGCACTTGACTGTCAAATAATAATTGTTTAAATGTACAAATGTGTTAATAATAACAATATTACTAGTAAAAAATGTAATTATGGAAATATCATCTTTGTCATATACAGTAGTGTAAATTCGACTACCAATATTAAGTATTATTTAACAATATATTGTAATAAATTTAATAATGATAATATTGTTATCAAATGATAACTTAAAATACAGTGAAATTATCCCACGAATATATTGTGCAATAACAACGTGGCAACACATATGTAACTGAGATTTATATTAACTTACAATTGATAGCAAAATCGTTATCGTAAATCGTATAAAACGAGTGACTCCATAGCAAATCGACGCCGTAAGCCAAATGTTCGTGCGTTTTCATG